GATATTCACTGTGAGAATCTTGTAATGGCTCCTGAATGTGAATGACCCTCACATCATCCTGAGAGAGAAAGGGGAACTGTTAGATAGGGATAAAAAGTGACAGAGGTAAAAGTGTCAGATAACATGTGATTCATTATGGTGTTTCTTATTCCCATAGTACCTGGGACTCCTACTCAAATGCTTTTTCGCATAATGTTTGAGTTCCAGCTCAAAGGCTTCTTTTTCCTATAATGCCCTGGGTGTCCATGCAACCAATGAAAATACCCAGGGCTTTGCTTGTACAAGACGCCAAGCAATCAGAGCAAAGCCAAGGGGAGGAGACAGGGGCGGTGTATTGCAATCACCCTTGCAAGGATTCCATTGGATTCCTCTTTGGGCCCCTCTCCTGATGGAGCAGTCTCATTACTTTTTTCGTGGCTTTCCTTTCACCTTCAAATAAACTTACTCTGTTTACTTTACACACTCTCCTGTCTTTTGGAAGATGAATCCATTCCCCTAGAGGGCATCAGTCTCCCTGATGTTTAGAACTCTGAAGAATGTCAAATCTTGAGGCTCAAGCTGTGGGCCCATTCCATTCTGATTTTCCCCAACCAAGCATTGCTCCCCTCAGGAATGGTTCCTACAAGTTTCTGGACCTGTGAGCTGTGCTTTCTTCTATGTCTACTCTGGGTGTCTCTGATCAGTGTTGGATCTAAGGAAAGATGATGACTTTTCATTTTGGTCAGTGTCCTATTTGCTGTTACAATGGAGTGTCAACTCTGACTTTGTAGGTATCCTATGAGCCTCAACTCTAGAGACACGGAAGTATCCTCATAACAAAGGGTAAGATACTTCAGCAATATCTTGTCACCATATTGTCCTAGAGACAGAAGCTGCTTCTTTAATACTCTGCAAGCCATGGGTGAGGCCTCAACTCAGATTCAAATGCCAGGAACTTGACTCAAATGGGAAGGATAAAAAGCTTAGAACACTAACTAAGAAAGCTGGCTAGTAGGAGAGGTCCTGGAACTCAGCAGGGGACCATCAGAGGGCACCCAGCCTGGTTTTACAGAAATAGACATGCATATTCACAGACCTAAATTCCAAAAATATAAAAGCACAAAAGGTTTTCAATTTTGTCCTTTGAAAACGTGAAAACTTTTATCCTTTTATACTGAGCTCCACTATCCTTCTTAGAAGTAACATTATTACTAGACTCTTTAGAAAATCAGCTATACACACCACTTTCAATGGAAATCTATTTTAGAAGTGCATGATCTTTGGAATTTTAGAATTGGAGGGGATGTATGTTAGTCACTCATTCACAGCATCTCTAAGTACTTGACTGCTCCTGCATAAAAGTATTTTTCAAGAATACGGTCAAAACACTTTATGTACATGTTTGAAAGTAGGATAATGAAATCTGTTGAAATTGGTTGGGAAAGAAAGAGAGAGAGAAAGTGATAGAGGGGATGAGCTTAATCAAAGTGCATTGTATGAATGCATGACCACACCAAAATGTAATTCCTGCTAGGCACCAGCGGTTCACATCTGTAATTCTAGCTACTCAGAAAGCTGAGATCTGAGGATCACGGTTCAAAGCCAGCCGGGGCAGGAAAGTCCATGAGACACAATCTCCAATTAACCATCAAAACCACCAGAAATGGAGCAGTGACTCATGTGATACAGAGTTAATTTACCTAAAGCATAAAAGTTCAGGGACAGTGTGTAGGCCCTGAGTTCAAGCCCCAGGACACCCTCCCTTCCTCCCTCACACACAAAGATTGAGAAACCACTTTCCATTCTGAGGTAAACTCATCAATTTTGTTTTTGCTTTGAAGGCCAGGAAAAACAAACCAAAACAAAAACAGGTGGTCAAATGCTTCTCATGTAAGATGGAGCTTAAAATATCTGAAGTCCTCATATCTTCACTCAGACAAATAGCCTATTTCTTTTCTCCTTACACAGACCTTGTGGGTTTAGGAAATTCAGTGTCATGTGGTTTTTTTTCCAAGAAAGGCTAAACTCAAAAATCTTTCCTCTAAGAAAATAGTTATGCATCAGAGAACTATGAATAGTTTTTATGAAAATGGATGTGTTGTAGGAAATACTAGTGTCTAGAATATGCTTACTACTAAAACATACATGGAGGCTTTATTCACACTTTTTTTGGTGTGTTTTCTTTTTTTTTTTTTTTTTTTTTTTGTCAAGCAGAATTTTGGTTCTATTTAAGAGTCTTTCCAAAATACTATAAAACAAAATTTGGGGTCCTCACCTCAGTATTTGGCTCAAGTTTTGAAGAGGTAAACGTTGAAAAGGATAAAGAATATTGCCTGTGTTGGGTCTGAAGCCAGCAAGCATCTCATGCTAACAAGTATGCAACAAGTATGCTTTGGGGAGTTTGCCAATTTATTTAGCCTCTCCAAGCTGTCATTTTGCTAAATTAAAAGGCAAACAAAATATTGGTTAGCTCAAAGGTTGTCAGATATCAGTACAATCAGTGCTTAGAACAGAGAATGGGTAGCTATGGTCATTCCCCCAGTGACAGCACAGAGCACCTAGCCTTTGCTCAGGCTGAGGTCTAGTATATTCTCCACAGACAACTGTGTGCTAAGTAGTCTCAATGCAGGGCCCTAGTGGAACAAGGCTCCTGTATTCTTTCATGGGAAAGTATGTGTGTGTGTGTGTGTGTGTGTGTGTGTGTGTGTGTGTGTGTGTGTGTGTGTGTGTGTGTGTGTGTTTGATACTAAGGCTTGAACTCAGTGCTTGGGCACTGTCTTTTGGCTTTTTTGTTCAAGGCTGATGTCTACCATTTGAGCTATAGCTCTACTCCCTACCTTTTGGTGGCTAATTGGAGATGAGAGTCTCAAGGTGTCTCTTCTCTCTGGGCGGGTTTGGAACTATGACCCTCAGATCTCAGCCTCCTGAGTAGCTGGGATTATAGGCATGAGCAACTAGCACTCAGCTTGCAAAGTCACTTCTGCTATCCAAGTCAGACAATTTAAGACAGACAGTTACCAAGAAACTCAGGTACCCACTGAAGAGTACAAAACCATCCTGAATATTCTTTATATTATTTATTTTGTCATTTTTTATTGATATATGGTAATTCTGTATATTAAAGGGTCAGAGGAAAACAAATTTTTGGACTTATCTCAGTTGGTTGTTCAGCAAACCCCAACCTTGGAATCCACCCTAGCATTGAGCTGTGTGTCTTTCCACTAACTCCTCTAGTTATTGTTTTCACAGAGCTTGAGATTTCTAAAGATCACATGGGAATCAGATCGTATCAAAGGATGTTACAACCAGCAGCTCTATGAAACCTCATTCCTGCACAGAGCTAGCGTGGATTCTGGAGTTTCTACAGATTACCATTTGGACTCATGGGAGAAATTATGTACTTAAAAAAAAACAGTTGTTAGTTAAATTGATTTATGTTTTAGTTTATGTTCACTATGACTTGTGTCATATTCTTGGCAGAAAATATGGTTTAGAGGTATTCGAAATTTGTGGTCCTTGTTTAAGAACTTCAGTGTAGGCCCATTACTTCTGTCTTCATTTCATGGCCCACTGTTGTTTCGTGTTTGTTTGTGTTTTTTTTTGCCCTTGTATTTTATTTCTCCACAAACTGTTTGAAGTCCTTGCTTGGAATATGTGCAGGGAACAAAAAACATGAGGTCAAGGTGTTGGAGGTTGCCCTAGTTATTAAAACAAAGGGACAAATTGTTTACTCCAAGTCACAATGGACATTACAGGTTCTCTGGAAGGTGGGTAGCCCTGTGCTCTGCATATGCTCTGGTAAAACTCCATTGTTCAGCATGCCAGGTACATGACTCAGGTACAAGCTATGTGCTGGATGGGATGAAAAGATGGAGGCTCATCTTCTCTAGCAACAGAAAAGTCTGGCCTTAGAGTCACCTACTCTAGATTTGTAAGTTCTGCTAACCCAAGGAAATCCAGAGTCAAACCAGGCTTGAGAATTAACAGGCAATCTTGTGAAGGAAGGAGGGCCAGGGGACATTTCTCCTGTATGAGAAGTACAGGGGCAGGTTATATATATATTGTTTAATTCTAGTAAAATCTTTAATGAGCTCTCCCAGCATTTCTCCTACTTGAATTTTGCGTGGCTGGCTCAGGGTCCATGGGGAGGTATGTAGGCTTCCTAATAGTCTTTCCACTGTTCTAATGTGTCAAGCTTTATTCCAAGAACTTCACTTTTGCAAGATAATTTGTCTCTCCTTTGTGCTTCTGGGTGGTTCCTGATAAATGCAATGCAGGGTATATGGAATTCTCCCCAGGTATTCATGCACACATTCAAAGATTGCTCTTCTTTGTGCCCGAGGTGGATTGCTCTCATTTTGGACAATTTGAAGAATACATGATAGAATCTAGAAGATTTTGGGACTTCTGAATGAATGCTACTTCAGATACCGGAAACCCAGGTCAACCCAGGCCATCCTGTCCTGTTTGGGATGCGTCTTGACAGCTATCAGGAGCACCTCTGACTTCTGCTGGGTTTTAGTGCTGAGGAGGGGCAGGGGCGGGGGAATGGAAGGGCAGCGTCCTCATCTGTGCCATTATCCAAGCTTGACTCTGGGGCTCAGCCAGTTTTGTCCTGGAGTTGGTACAAATTTGCCTAGTAAACTAAAAGAAGAGAAAGGGGGAAGGGAGCCTTGACACAGCTTTGGCTGGAAGTATGTTGGCCCACCGAGGCCCACTGAGAATCTACAAGGACAGGGTGCTGAAGACTTCAGCGTCCTGGGACGCCCCACTCACAAGTTAGCTCCCAAGGACGGCGCGCTGCCCTCCGCACACCGGTCGCCTCTCGGGGTGTTGGGGGGGGGGAACCCCGTCTGTCCATCACCACCTCCAGGTCACCCGGGCTTTCGGTCATTGCCTCCCAGTTCTCCCTCCCAGCTCGCTTTCCGCTCCTCCTCTGCTCCTCGGGATCCCCGATCCCTCCTCCTAGGCCTGGTCCCTCCTCCTCCCGCCCAGCCTCCCCACGCCCTAAGCCGGCGCAAAGCTAGACGTCTGGGCAGCTCCGCGCAGCCTCCGCCTCCCGCACCGTGTGCGCGACTGTGGTCAGGGCGGCCGCAGAGAGTCGGGGCCGCCGCCGCCGCCGCCGCCGCCGCCTCCTCGATCGGACGATCGGCCACCTCCGAGGCCGGCCGGCCACGGTCACAGCCACAGCCCACCGTCGCCTGACGGGTCCCGGATTAAATGAAGGGGAGCGGAACCGGTTTCTCTAGGGCAGCGATGCGACCCTTCGGGACGGCCGGCGCCGCCGCGCTGCTGGTGCTCCTGGCGGCTCACGTCCAGGCGAGTTGGGCGCTGGAGGAGAAGAAGGGTAAGTGCGTGTCCCGCGGGTCCCCTGCACGCTCTCCCGATCGCGCCCCGCGATCCTGCAGCCGCCCCGCCCCGCGCGCCCCAGCGCACCGGGCTCGGCGTCCCGCGCCGCCCGCCCCGCCTTTCCTGTTTCCTTGAGGCTCAGCTGCGCTTCTGGCGGGGACCGTGGGAGGAACTGGACTTTTGGTGTGTGGACTGGGAGAATCTCCGCGGCCAGGGGAAGGGAGACGCGAGGCTCGGGGGCGCTGCGAGCGCGGCGTGGGGACGGCCGCGGGGACATCCGTGCGCCGCATAGTTCCCAACTTTTCTTTTCCTGACTGCTCTGCCTTCCTGCGCTCCGTGGGCGTCCGGGAGGGAGTCCGGGGGATAATACGTGCGGGGCTACTGCAAACCCGGGTGGCTGCTATCTCTCCCGCACGTGCGCACCACGAAATTGAACCGAGGGGCTTGGCAGGCAGGATAGGGGTTTCGCCAAGAAGTGGGCGCATCGCACCCAAGTCCGTGGCCCGAGCGATCGAGGAAGGACTCGCGTGGATCTGCCCACTCTCCGGATATCCTGGGGCAGGCGCACCTCTTGGCACCGCCGGGGTCCCACTTGAAGCAGGAACATTGATTCAAACCCTGAAGCAGCCCCAGTCTCACCCCCCCCCCCACACCCCCGATCTCGGGTCTTGGCAACCACCTGGGGAGCTGGGAGAACTTGTCTCGGTCGCTCACCACCTGCGGCGACCGGGAAGGGGTGGTGCTGGTGGTGTGATTGGTTTCCTCGTCCGCGCAAAGGAGAGCAGGGTGTGATCCTTCCGGACTCTCTGGGGCTGAACCCCCCCTACCCCCCACCCCTCGGCCTGGGAGAGAGGATCCTTCATGGCCAGGTGCGCCCCGATCCTCCAGGCTCCACGCCGGCCTGGGTGGAGGTCTCTCGCCGGAGCTCGAAGTCTCCCTAGGCGGCCTCCGAGGTTTGCGTCGCCAACCCACATCTGCAGCGCTTTCGTCTCTCTCTGTGTTTCCCAGTGGACCCTGGACAGAGGTGCGCGGAGGGTGGCACGGCCGCGGCTGGATCCTTGAGCTGAGTTCCCCAGAGGCGGCTGGTCCGCCAGCCATCGCGGATTTCAAAAAGAGCTAACAGTAAACTTTCCCCCCTCATTATCCGGAGATTCCCCCTGCCCTTTTGAACGTTTCTTTCTGCTCTTTCCCCTTTCCTTTCTTTTTTTTTTTTAAAAAGAGTTTGATGTGGAGCCAATCAAAATATTAAAGTTAATTAAAGCAGAAACGGATTGATGTCCATGCGTCTCGTGTGCCAACTATGCAGATGGGAACACGAACAAGTCTGGCTTCGCGATGGCCGGCCATAAACCCACTTGACATGAGAAACATGCCTCAAAAGGTTTAATTGCACAATTTCAAAATCCAGAGGCTCAGGTTACAAGAGTCAGGTCCGCACTTGCTGTTGATGTCATTCGTATCAGAGTTGGGGCTTGATGCTCAGCGCGTTTGCTGGAGGAGAAGATCCCAGAACGGTGTGATTCTCAAACTTTGCTGCTCACTGAAAGAATCTGAAATCAGCAAGGGGGGTGGGGGAGGGAGCCAAAATGAAGGGAGTGGGGGAGAGAGCTAGCTTCCACTTCTAGGCATTTAAATTTCATTACTCCATTGGTCTGGGGTGAAAAACCAGCAATGGGATTGCTTTAAAAAAAAAAAATTAAGGTCTTTATTGAGCAGCCAAGTTTGAGATTCATTGGCATAAAATAAAGATTCCTAGTCTCCAGATAGTATCTTGGTGGAGGGGAGTGGTTCTTTCGGAAGATCTGAAGTTTAAACCATTTTGGGACAGGGGGGAGGCAAACGCAGGCATTGTGGTAGCAGTGACAAAAATTTCCTCTTTTTGCCAAAGGAATTCCTGCAGTTTTCCTGGCTAGCTTATTTAGCCTTAAGGGCTCCCCTCCCCCACCCCAACCCTTCTTTAGATGCTCAGAAACAGCTGGCTCCTGATATAACTGACCCTAGAGTCCTCATAACCAGGTGACATCTGCCCCTGCAAAGGGACCTTTTCCCTATTTTAACTTAACCCGAAGAGCTTCTCTTTTCTCCAGAAATACGCCTGCCTCTTTGATGTTACTCTTTCAAACAATGCTATTAGTGGTTTCTAAGTGGGGGTGTTGGTGGTTTATACCGTAATCCTGTCTACTCAGGAGGCTGAGATCTGAAGATTGAAGGTTCAAACTCAGCTCCTGCAGGAGTTTGTGTAAATCTTACCTCCAGTTAATCACCAAAAACTTGAAAGTAGAAGTGTGGCTTAAGTAGCAGAGCTCCAGCCTTGAGCAGATAAAGCTAAGAAACATTGCGCAGGCCTTGAGTTCCAGCTCTAGTATCAGCACACACACATACACACACACGTGCATGGGCACATTCCCATGCACACACACACACACACACACACACACAAATGTTTCTGAGAGATATGTGAATACTACTTATTCTACCTATTCATTACATATTGGCTTCAAAGCAAGCACTCCTGAAGATAATGATAGTGGCAAACAAGTGCTATTTTGCAAAAGTAACATAAAAAGGTGAAAAATCTAAAGAGACAATATTTTAAAAATATGAGATAGAGGTTTTTATTGGCAAAAGGTTAAGTAACTTAGTTTTGTTCAAGAATCATTTGCTTTAATGAGGCTTTCTTTATTTTTTGTTCCAAGATCTGGCATCACCTGTATTTATGCTGCTCAAAACTAAAGACTTAGGAACACTGCTCTAAGTGTCTTCTTAATCTTAACATTAAGGGTACGAGGTGGTGTCCTTGTTATCTATGGGGAAACCAAGGCACAGAAAAGTGAAATAGGTTTTGTACAGTTAGTAAGAAGCAGAACCAAGATTCCAATTCCCCAGCCTGCAAACTCCACTAATGTATTACAGGAGAGTCAGGTCATGCTTGTGTGATCGACTAAGGTCAAATGCTGGCTGGAGGAAAGGAAGCAGGTAACAGGCTTATTGAAATGAGCCTGTCTGATGCTGCTTGTATGAAGCTTATAAGAGATGCTTGTTTGTTTAGCGGTCTTCACTCTGCTCAAGGGTCAGTGGTCATACTGACTGCATTTTATGGGGGCATCTCACTATGACTGTAGATTGCTTGATCATGTTGAACACAAGAGAGAAACTTAAGGTGCTGCCTGCTGAAGAGAGAAGGAAAATCTACCAAGGAATTTTGAGAGAGGAGCTTGTCCTGGCCCCTCTTCTGAAGCCATTCTGACCTTGACCTAGAAGTTCTGAGCTGAATGAGAGAGAAACAAAACTAGGAATTGTAATGGAACCAAAGTAAAGAACCAGCCCCATCTTTTCTCTAAACAGGGACCAGATCTTGGAAGGCCAAGCCTGGCTGGGCAGCAAGGAGGCTGCCCATCTCTGAGTAAACTTGGACAAACTAAGGCCTCAGACTTCTGAGTTGTCTTTTCAGAAATCATTGAGTACTTAGAATATGCCAGTCATGAATTAAAGGGGATGGTCTTAATGATTTCTACTATTGCCTTTAAAAAAAATTTTTTTGGTATGGATTCTGGGGCTTGAACTCAGGACCTGGGTGCTATTCTTTAGCTTTTTCCTCAAGGCTGGAGCTCTGCCACTTGAGCCACATCTCTACTTCTTGATTTTGGATGGTTAATTGGAGATAAGAGTCACATGGACTTTCCTGCTCTGGTTGGCTTCGAACCACAATCCTCAGAGTTCAGCCTCCTGAGTAGCTAATATTTAGGCTCAGATCTAATATTCTAGAATATTAGCTACTATTGATTCTACTATTGCTTTTACAAAGCAATAGTGATTCTTTAGCAACTAACTATTAGTTAATTGTTCAAATGTGAAAGGGTGGTCAGCAGCCCAGTGTTTTAGCTTATATTACATCTATATTGATTTTAATGAGGATACATATACTGCACTGGGATGTAGTATAAACTAGCCAAAACTGGATGATCACACGAGTACACTCTGAAAAGTTACTTACTGGCTTTGTATATTCAGTTTCATAATCCATAATTTTTCAAAAAACATACTGCAAAGTCTGAAGAAGTGAAATAGAAAAACCCATTGTGCTGTATACTTAACTTCATCCACGTGACAAGACTCACATGTTTTGAAATATTTTTAAAGGTAGTCAGAAGAGATGAAGGATTCCACCTTGTTTAGAAAGAAAATATTCTTTGTTTTTTCTTTGTTCTGAGCCCAAGAGCTGGCAGCTTGTATCTAAGACTTTTTTGACAGGAGTAACAAACCAAGTCTGATATTCAGGGCAGTTGATAGTTATGAGTATTTAAGGGGTTGTACCTACAGATCCTGAAATAGAGATGATATCAGGATGCTCAGACTATAAAAGAGGGGCCACCTATGAAATATTGTGGCCCTTGTGATATGTGTGTGTGTGTGTGTGTGTGTGCATTTAATTTGACTTAGAAAGTACTACAGGAATAACCGTAATTAAAATTAAGTTTTTGTAATATGTGTATAAGAGAAATTCTAAGTTTTAGAATACATACTCATATTTGTCTCCCTCTAAACATGATTTTGTCCATCAGATCTGCAGTGGATTAACTCTTTTGTTTTCCTCTGTCATTTACAGGCATTTGAAATGATGACAAGGAACAACTTAAATCTGTTTATTGTTATTGGCACTTGCTCAGCTTTGTTTGCTCAGCTGGTTCTATTCTACCACTTGAGCCATACTCTCAGCCCAACTTTTTACTGGTTATCTTTTTTGGAGATAGAGTCTCCTGGACTTTTCTGTCTAGACTAGCTTCAAGTCACAATCTTATGGAGCTCAGTGTTTTTAGTACTAGGATTACAGATGTGAGTCACTGTCACCCAATTTATTGGTTTGATCTTGAGCTATGACACTTACAGAATAAAGTATGAATAAAGTATGAATCTTAGTTCTCCTAGGGAATCCCCCACCCCGCCTTTTTTTTGTTGGTCATGGAGCCTGAACTCTGGGCCTGGGCATTGTCCCTCAGC